AAAAACTTTTTATTAATTAACATAGCGCCATAATTTACTATATAATTTCTATTAATCACATGCGGATCTGCAATTAAATATTTAATCACAGTATATGTATTTATTTATATACACTTTAATCCCTATTCATCGCATTCTAAATACATATTTAAAAAATATAGGTGTTAATTATTGTTATATCGGTATTATTAACAACTTGATGCTAATTGACTATACTGATACAATTTAAACAAGCAATAGAAATTGCACAAATTAGTAGCGATAGGATATTGGTAATTTTGAATTTCAGCATAAATTAAACTTAATTCAAGTCATTATTCAAAATGAGCATTAGTTTATGGCCATGGCGACCATATATGAATAGCCAATCAAAATTGAGCATGTGGATATATAGTAAGTTGCTTACTATTGGCCAATTAAAATTAGTTAAAAATTTTAATAAAAAATAAGAAAAATATAAAAAAATTCTAAAATATGATTGGCTGCTATATGTAGGGTTGCCATAGAGACGGGTCTCCATAAAAAATTTAACATTCAAAATAACACCCATAGTTATTACGCGCAAATACCAGTATATATTAAATCAAGAAAGATCTTAATAGTTTTTTGTGTACAGCGTCTTCATAAGACGAGCAATAAATCTATAAATTTTTATTTTTCGTAACCATTTCGATTTTCTCGAATGGTTCACGTATTTGAAATTATAATAGAACAAGTAAAAAAGTGAAATGAAAAATATATTAATGAAATGTTTCAATGCCAAGTTTTTTTTTCAATTTAGGAGATATTCCTCCAAATTCATCATAGTTCACTCGCAATTATCAATAACGATAGTTAAAACTATCCTAAAAACCATCTATTCCACCTCTTATTAACAAAAACTGATACTTTTGATATTTTATGTTTATCGTGCAATCCTTATTAATTATATTTATTTACAGAATGAACGGTTGATGCGCTTCTTGTCAGCAGAGGCTGCATCTAGATTTAGAAATCATAGGTGCACTGTACTGTATCGAGTTATTCGGTATGCATTTATATGAGCTATGTTCATCGTTCGATCTATATGTAGAAAAACGAAACATGCATAATTAAAAAAAAAGTTAATATACAATTATTAAATTAATTAAATATTTTCCAAAAATTTGTGAATTTGATAAGCTTTACGATAATTGTTTATAAAAGTGTGATCGAAATTGATAACCCAATTCTGGTCAATTAATTTTCTATAACATACAGTAATTTACCATCATGATATATCATAAAGTGTGAACCATGATTTTTGATCCACCTAACATGATTTTTTGAATTTGATAAACTTCCAGAATTAAACCATTCTACTTACATTTGGTTAGCTTCATATTTTATTTCGTCATCCGATTCGCCTTCATCGGTTTCGTATTCATCGGTTTCGTCTCCATCGGTTTCGTTTTCATCGGTTTCAAAAGTTGGAGTATTGGTATCAAGACAACTGGGAGTATCGGAAGTAACTTTATTGGTTAAAGCAGTATCAGGTATATATGACGTTGGTATTGAAGTTTCAAATTTGATTTCAGTGTTTGAGGTTTCAAATTTGATTTCAGGGTTTGAGATTTCAAATTTGATTTCAGGGTTTGAGGTTTCAAATTTGATTTCAGGGTTTGAGGTTTCAAATTTGATTTCAGGGTTTGAAGCTTCAAATTTGATTTCAGGGTTTGAAGTTTCAAATTTGATTTCAAGGTTTGAAGATTCAATCTTGCGTTTTTTAGGTAATTCATCTGGTGGATGATCAAAAGGTATTGATCTTTTCCTGGCTTGTCGTGCCGAATTTGAAAATTCGGATTCAGATTGACTCGTCGACTCATCAGAGCTGATTTCATCATATTTAAGAGATAACCAAAAATCAGTAGTCAGAGTCAATTCATCCTCGCCAGTCATTGATTGCCTTTTTTCTAATATATTTGCAGTTTTACAAGGCATTATTTCTGTTTGATCAGGCCACATTGAATAAAATCGCCCAGCAACTTCAGATAAATCTACATTATACTCTTCATCATCCTCATTCACTGGAAACCACTGATATTTATTATTTTCTAATAAATTTCCACGATTATACATATCACCTGTTAAATGAATACCTTTTTTTGGATGTTTATAAATACTAGTAATTTGTAAATATAATCTACGATCAATATTTCTACTTTTTAATAAAGAACCTTTTTCATTTCGAGAATTCTTATTAGGAATTAATCGTACTATATCATCTTCACATAAGATTTCAGCACCAAAATAAATTGCTTTAAAATGAATATATTTTTCCATTTCAGCGAAACGTTTCGATTTTGCCTCATCTGGACCTTGAAAATCATCAGGACGATGATAATCATATTGAAACACTGGAGTATAAGTAGTTTCAATATCGCGTGCTTTACGCACAGCTTTGATATAAGCAGCAGCAATTTGTTCTGGTTCCGGATTATCTAAATCTATATCGGAGGAAATTCTTGAAGCTTTTCGTATACCCAAAATTTCAGGTCTATAAAGGAGCCAAGGTTGAATCGAATTTATATCAACTTCCTTTTGGCCACGTAATATTAATAATTTTATTGTGTAAAACTCACTTTCAGAATTTTCATTTCCTGGAGGTGATATTATCTCAGTAATAACTGATGGCCAATATTTAATTGGAGTTTCGTTAATTTCGTTACATTTTGCGAGCATAGTCTCATCTAATATCTTTTTTGCATCTAACCACACTACTTCACCTTCTCTAAATACTGAGGTATTATTACACATGAGTGTCTAAATTATTTCGCTCCTAACGTAAATCTATATAAACGAAATTATTTTTGCAGTATAAATTGAGTATGTCAAAAAAAGAATATTCTTGGACCCGTTTCCTCACTTTATTGGGTGATTAACGAGAACTCTGATTGGCCAAAATTAAAGATTAACGCGTTACCTTTTTATGGATTCTTTTTTGTGTGAAACAAATTATAAATTCGATCTTCGATCATAACGCATTACATCTGAACATCTGAACTTCACATATGAATTTCTAAACTTTTACTCAAAAAGAATTTGATTTTTATATTAGTTGTTTTTGGTCTAAAAAAAAAAAAAAAACTCCACTTGATACACCGATCCAACTGAATTTTACAAAAAAATTTATGCTTCGAGACAAATTCTATTATAACTGATAATAAAATTTGCGTAACATTGTTTTTTTTCAAAGAAATCAGGAACTAAAAATTATCCGCGGCATATCATAGTATCAGGCCATAAACAATTCATACTAAAAATATTTAAGAATTAATTATTTTTTTCAAGAATAAAGACGGTTTAAATATGTGAATTTTAAATGCATTACGTAAGAGAAAAAGAGTAAAATGGAAGTACAAAAGAATTAAAAAATTTTAAATCACATTTATATATATATATATATATATATAGTATATAATTACGTACGTACGTATGTTATATCAGATATTAAAATTTAGGATTAGAGTTAGAAATTAGAGGTTGTACCCGGTACATCCGGGTCACCCGGATTATAAACCGGGTTACCCAGTTTATTTGATTGGCTGTTGTATAGTTTTTAAAAGAATTGATAGAGATAGTAATTCTTTATTATAAGATAAAAAGAAAATCTATATAAGAGCAATAAAAAGAAGAAAGATCTAAATTAGAATTACATAAAAGAACTCATAAAAGATATATGTTAGTCAATCATGCAAAAGTTTCTATACATATAAAATTAAATGTATCATCGCTTAATAGCATTATCACGTTTATGGATAATTAATCCGGATCACCGGTTAGCGACCCGATTGACAGGTGTTAATCGGGTTACCCGGGTAATTCTTATACAGGTACAAGAACAAGATTAAATATTTAAGGTTAAAAGTTAGGGTTGTAAATAAAGTTAGCAAGGGATTTTTTGGGACGCTAAACATTTTTGCCTAGAATACGTAATTACTTAATTAGTTTTGAGATATAGCAACTGTGGTGTTAAACGTCCATTGGTATGATTAGGGATGGATGTCCGGTCCTAAGACCTGCAACGACGATCCCCGGATACAAGAAACCGTTAGCTGATCGATCCCAGGATTGGATTCTAAATCGCAATTATTGAATAAGTCCATCCGATAAAATTGATAAAAACAATATCTTTCAATCATATTGATACTTTATTGTTAACGGACACATACCAGATTTAGTATATCATTAAATTAAATTATCTGCTAATTTTTAACTGTATATGTCGTACGTCAAAATGGAATTATTGTGGATATAGAATCCACTTAGGTTGGAGCTGAATTCCAAATGTAACCCAAGTTGATACGAAATTTTAAAGCAACCTAAGTTGATTCTAAATTTGATAACCGTTAATTTAATATCAAGTTGATTTTAAATTTGATAATCGTAAATTTAATATCAAGTTGATTTTAAATTCGCTGCCACAATAAATGTGCAATTGATTGACGCAACAATTGTTACATTATATCGTCATTTCATTTTTTCGTCCTTTTCTTTGCAAAAACACTCCATCCGACAACCAAACTAATAGTTGACGTAAAACCTTAATAGCACGTGGAGTTTGTCAAGAATTTGTAAATAATTTTTTTGATTAAAATTTTTTTAAACTTATCTATTTTAGTTTATAAGCAATCTAAACTTTTTTTCTTATATTATAAAAACTAATTTTGCAAAAAAGTAAACCTTATTTTTAAATATAATTATACAAGGTTTTATTTAAATATTTTGGCATTTAAAAAAAGTAAATTAGAGCTAAAAAAAGTACAAAAATACAGGCAAATTTGTTTGTATTAGTTTATATATTAAGAGATATCAATTTGGATTGGTAGATGAAAACACTACTTAATATTAGTATATCTTATATACTAAGAAAAAGGCAAATGAAGTTATATTAATAATATATCTATTTTTTACTTCTACAGCAGATAAGTAGAATTAGATAATTAGTAAAAATTTTAAATCTCTATATATATATTTTGTTTAATTTTAAAATATAATATAAAATATAATTTACAGTGTATATAAATTATAAAAATTGTTCAATTTTAGAGACAAAATAAGAATTCATGTCTTTTATAATACTTTTTTTGAGCTTGTCATATCCAGATATTTTAAAAAGTTGGTTAGAGAAGAGCTAGAAATTAGCTGATTTTCTAGGAAGGGGGGTTAAAAAAAGCCAAAATTATATATAAAGACCTAATCAAAAAAGAGAGAGGTTAAAATTTTTGCCAAAATCAAATTAGCTAATTTATGTCTTTGCCCTTACTACTTTTAGATTAAAAATCATATACAGTATGAAAATTTGTTAACTATGAGTTTATTAATACTAAAATAGAATATATTAAATTAGAAAACTGATACTGTATATTAACTTGTTGATATAATACTATAAATAGAAGTATAAAAAATAATATTTTTGTAAACTTAAAAGATAAAGTAGAATTATTTTATAACTAAACTTTTAGCACTTGGCTTGTTATATTGTTATATTAGTATATATATATATATATTTGTTAATTAATTTTATATAACTACTAAGTATAGTATAAATTTTATTTCATTTAATAAATTATCTGATGTTAAAGAAATCAGTAAAGACAGATTTGGATCTGTATATTTAGCAACTTGGTTAGATGGCATATGAAAAGTTGATGACGATAATAGTAGTAATAGCGATGATGAAAACAAAGAGCAGATGAACTATCTAGCACTGTTGTATTCAAGATAATGACCAGTTTGAAGAAAATAATAATTTTTTAAAAGAAGTAAGTTAATTTATTGCTTTGATAATTTTCTAATAGTTTATTGAACTAATTCATTGTTATGGAATATAACTTATATTATACTGAGCTCACAATATATAAAATAATTCAAAACGCAAAAACAAAAGATTACTTAATAGTCTTTTAGTATGCTGATAATAGAAGTCTTCATAAATATTTAAGAAAAAAATTTTTTTTTTTTTTTGGTATTAAGGTGACCTTCATTGGCTTGGAGAACTTTTTATTAGAGTATAAATAGTAATTACAACGATGGTACATCAAGCCACACGTGCACCTTTTGAGTACCTAATTTAAGTAGTCTGCCTGAAAGTTCTACACTATCTGCTGTACCTACACCCCAACTAGGGGGGTATCCATTTAAACTATCTGGTTCTAACTACCTCCATTGGCCCTCTAACCCGAAGGGTTTTCTCACTAAACTAAATAAATATTGGTATTACTCTATATTGGCTTTAAGAAAAAATTTTATTAGTCTTACATAGTAATAAATTATTTGATGTTAAAGAAATTGGTAAAGGCAGATTTGGATCTGTATATTCAGCAACTTGGTTGAATGGTATATGAAAGTTGATGACAATGACCAGAGATGTCATATTACAATATCCAATTGGTTTCAATTTTTTTTGAACATATGTTTAATTTAAATTGAACATATATTCAAAAAAAATTGAAACCAATTGGACATTGTAACATAATATCTCTGATAATGACAGTAGTGACAGTGATAATGAAACAAAGAGCGCATAAACCATCCAGCACCATTGCACTTGAAACATTAATCAGTTTAAAGAAAAGCAATAATTTTTAAAAGAATTAAGTTAATTATTGCTTTGATAATTTTTCTAATAGTTTATTGAACTAATTTATTGTTATAAAATACAACTTATATTATACTAAGCTTACAATATATAGAATAATTCAAAATGCAAAAACAAAAAATTACTTGATAGTCTTTTAGTATGCTAATAACAGAAGTCTTCATAAATATTTAAGAAAAGATTTTATTAGTCTTACATAGTAATAAATTATCTAATGTTAAAAAAATTTGTAAAGGTGAATTTGGTTCTGTATATTTAGCAACTTGGTTAGACAGTATACAAAAAGTTGATAATGATGACCAGAGATATCATATTACAATGTTTAATTGGTTTCAATTTAAATTAGACATATGTTCAAAAAAAATTGAAACCAATTAGACATTGTAATGTGACATTTCTGATGATGACAGTAGTAATAGCAATGATGAAACAAAGAGCGCATAAACCATTCAGCACCATTGCACTCAATTGACTAGTTTGAAGAAAAACAATGATTTTTAAAAGAAGTAAGTTAATTATTGCTTTGATAATTTTTCCAATAGTTTATTGAACTAATTCATTGTTATGGAATGCAACTTATATTATACTGAGTTCGCAATATATAGAATAATCCAAAATGCAGAAACAAAAGATTATTTGATAGTTTTTTAATATGCTGATAATAGAAATTTTTATAAATATTTTAAAAAAAATTTTATTAGTTTTATATAGTAATAAATTATCTAATATTAAAGAAATCAGTAAAGGCAGATTTGGATTTGTATATTCAGCAACTTGGTTGAATAGCATACAAAAAATTAATAACAATGACAGTAATAATAGCAATAATGAAAACAAAGAGTGTATAAACTATCCAGCACTGTTGCACTCAAGACATTGGCCAGTTTGAAGAAAAACTAACTTTTTAAAAGAAGTTAATTTATTGCTTTGATAATTTTTCTAATAGTTTATTAAACTAATTTATTGTTATAGAATATAACTTACATTATACTAAGCTCTCAATACAGAATAATTCAAAATGCAGAAACAGAAGATTATCTGATAGTCTTTTAGTATGCTAATAATAGAAGTCTTTATAAATATTTAAGAAAAAATTTTATTAAATTATCTGATGTTAAAGAAATTGGTAAAGGTGAATTTGGATCTGTATATTTAG